AAATATGTTGGTATATACAGGATATTACGCTTTTGCCTGACAAATAAAAATGTATAAAGTTTTAAATATAGTTTGTTTTTGTTAAAAGTAAACTGGTATTGGAACTCAAATTACGTCATATTATTGTAGCGGTATTATACTCAGTGAAATGTGTTAAATTTTCATGGCCACCCCCGAATTTAAAAATAAATTGACGGGTTTATTCTTTAAGAATTGTACAGTTGTTTCTGTATTTTAAATCCTTTATTTAAATCGGAAAGAAATCGTGCTGAAACGAATTGCCAAACAAGCTTCTCTAAATGTGAACTTTTTACAGTATTTTTTTATAGATTATCATATTATAATAATGTATCGTATTTTGGTTTCTATGATTATCCACATAACGTTCAAATACATTTTTTTATACATACTTATATACTTGTAGTTTTATTTAAATAGTGAAATTCTTGTAAATGAAAGTTCGAGTTTGATCTTTATTAGTACATATTTCAATCATGCAGTTATCAATAGATTATGAGGTGATTCATACACAGAGCAATGGTAGAATCCTAACATCAAAATATGACGATTGGCCAAAGTAAAATGGTATTGCTAAAAAGACATCTACATGAAGTGCCCCCTTTGGGAATATGCTAAAAATGACATTAAGGTGACATTTTCCACTTTGAAAACCCCCCAATTAACCAAAATTTCATCAATATCAGTAAAGCGGTTACTGTAATATCCCAAAATAATTAATAAAATATTTGTAAATAAATTGTTAACTATCAACATTTTACTAAGTACCAAGGATTTTATCAGTGCTCTGTGTACAATTTATTATGAATCACCCTATATATTCGCAAAATTGAGTTTCAAAGCACTCGAACATTGCCTTAATATTTATGATTAAGAATATTTTTATTCAAGGCTCCTCTTAAATACTTTATGAACGTGTTTCAAACACAAATGATAAAAATGGTGATTCTAGACCTGATTTACCATTTTTTTGTGTTCTGGAAGACTTTAATCCCTTAAAAAGTTATTTCCTAAATTTTACAAGTTTAAGTTGATGTACGAGAGTATATTATGTACACGTTGATTTATACATCGGAATATATGTAAATTGGTAACCAGCAATACACAAGAAATATATGTCAACATAGCTGGAGCTCGAAATGCAGTAACCATTTTAGGAGGCACTAAAATGAGTATAGAAACACCTATTTATTGACTGTCGAAGTTGGGTTATTTTTTAATCTGTAATTTTTTGTGAAAATTACTCACTATTTTATTATCAATAAAACAGACAAAGAAAGTAAATTCGTCTGACGAAAACAATATCTTCTACTCTCATTGGATATCAAATAATATGTGTGATATTTTAAGCGAAGATATTTTAGATTAATTTTATACAGTACCATATTAAAAATTTACAGTATGTTAACCGACGCATCAGGTAAAATAAATATGAGACCTTTTCGATGGCAAGCATTTAATATTGAGGTCCGCATTCGGCGTCGTATTATTCTGCTTCTCTCTATTCAATAGCATTGTATTTTTTTTATACCGTTTTCCTGAAGTATGTGTGAAGTAGAATCCATAGATATGAAATAAACTTCTTACTTTTGGGTTTATTCTGAATTTAACCATAGTTCTTAATTGTTTTATTTTTAATTTCCCATTCAATTTAATCATCCTCTCAATGCAGGTAATCGGTCAAAACTAAATATCTCTAAATTATATTTATCCTTTTTTGATTAAAATTTAGTTTTTTTTTTAATTTGTTTCAAATAAAAATGGAAATGCTATTATTTACGATTATTTATCGATTCTTCACAAAAATAACTCATTTAAATGTATATTTAATCTGAATAATTAAAAAATATACTGACAATTAGTTTGACAGGATTGTCACTTATTTAAAATTTTAAAAATAATAGTAGTTGGATGTCCAAAATATGAACTGTGATTGGTGGATTTTATTTTTTTTGCAGTGTTCTCACTACCTAGAATGGATATGATTGATATGAAATATATTCTGACAGCACTATGATAAGGAGTTGCTTCCGTACTTGGCAACAAGTCAGAATGCCTGTAACTAGGCGCAGATTATTTCTAGTCATAGTCGAGTATTTGCTGTAACCTTCTCAGGATAGAGCTTCCTGGCAACTATGTAGTTTCTTGTTTTATCCCATTTTCCTTGAAATTCACAAGGAAATGTTCCTTGATTAGGTGTGTCACTACTGATTTTGTCAAGCTTATAAAAGGGCCAGGTCCAAACAGTATTTGGTTAGCTGCCTTATTGGCTAGGGAATCATCCTTTCGATGTGGCGTGACCTTTGATCCATCTTATCCAACAACATGGATACTTCGTTTAAAGCTTTTTTGAAGGTATCAAACGTTTTAGAATAGACCAGACTAGAATCGGTAACGTTTCCGGCAGCTTCTAAAGCTTTCGTCTCACTATAAGAATGACTACTTGCTAACTCATTTGGCATAGGCGTATCAGAAAGAGATTTCGGGAGTGACTCGCTTCAACGAATATTCTTGCTAATCTGAAACATGGAGACCCAAATAAGGCAGAGAGGTAATTAGAGCAGGACAGGACTGGTCTAAAATTGCTCGCTCGACAGCATACTATTTTCTTTGTTTGTTGTCGTAAAGAATTAATGCATAATTTTCACAACAAAATCTAAAATTAAAGAATACTTAAATCTCGTCGCCCTGTATCTATTCGCGATTCAAGCTAAGTAGAAGAAATTTGTAAAAGGTGTCTATAAGTAGGACTTTGTTCAGGATTGCCACAAAAATTAAAGAAATTATAAGAAGAAAAAACCAACAAACAACGAGTACACAACTAAATAAACAAAAGTGAGGTTAAACTTGCTTTGCTATCCGTCACTATCAAGTTTAAGCGCAAAATGGCGAGTGTTTAAAAAGATTAATTTTGTCAACATAATGTAGATAGTATGTGTCATTAATTTAACCAAAATTAATACAACCATAATTTTATATATGTATTTATAGATTATAGTACCAGTACTCAAAATCCGTCATATTCTTAGAAACGAAAAAATAAGTTGGTAGTGTTTTTAACAGTTTTTTTTGACATTTATGTACAAGGCTAATAAGATTCAAAATTAAACAAGATTTTTCTTGTGACAGTGGAAATGTTGGTTGCCTACATCGTGACGGCACAGCTTAAAGAGTCTATTGTGGTTATTAAACTAATATTTATTTTTGCTTAAAGTTAGTTAAAATTTGAAAGTTTTCTAAATGAATTATGATGACTAGTAGATGCCATTAATAACACTTTTATTATACGGGGTGGGAAAAAAAAGTTTAAATGGATACATAATCTTTTATTATTATCATATTATACGGCCAAAAATAAGTGCGGTTCTAATTTATTTATCTATTCTTATCTTGCACTGTTTTTGATAGAAAAGAAAGTAATAAAATAACAATTTTTGAGATAATGGAATATTTTGTAATAAATATGCGTCTTAAAAGATAATAAGGAAATTAAATTCGTAAAAGCTAAATTACAAAAATTGTACAAATTGTTTTCCGTCCTGTTCTTAACATTTTTTTATCTTTAGACGATGGTATTTGATTGAAATGCTTGGCTAACTCTTTCTTGGCAATCTTCTTTGTGTACTTAAAGAAGTTTGATTTACCTTTCGTTTAATATGAAAATATCGAAAGTGTGAGGTCAGGAGGTCTTGGTGGCCAAAAAATGGGCCTCTATTGGCTAATCCCCGATTTGAAAAATTATTGATTAAGAGCTAGGTATGTTACACCAAAGTAACAGAATTGCTTTGCACAACTTTAATTTATTTATTTTCATTTATTTTTATTTATTTATTTTTACGACAGTCCCCATTCCCCCCTCCTTAAAATGTGGAAACCCAAAAACCTTGAAATACTTGATTATTTACTTATGATGAGTAGCTACAATTTCAGTTTTCAAGATCCTACCTTTAAAAAAATCGATCATACAAACTTTCACCCGCCCTTTCCCTCTTCCCCCTTTGCTCTCCTTAAAATATGAAAATCCAAAAACCCTGAAACGTCATTATTTATTTGTGATGAGTAGTTATAATTCCAATTTTTAAATTCCTACCTTTAAAAAAATTGCTATAAAAACTTCCACCCCCCCCCCCCCCCCAACTCTGAAACCCGACATTATTTATTTATGTTCAGTAGCTGGATTGCAAATTTTCACTACCACTATGAAAAAACCATTTCTGATCCCTTGTTCTGGAAAAACAAAAACAAATTATCCCACGAGAACCGTACACTTTTGCGGAATATGCCTATATGCTATTCCAGACTATAATCTATCTCTGTTCCAAATTTCAACCAGATCCCTCCAGCCGTTCTGGCGTGATTGAGCAACAAACATCCATCCAAACATAAAGACCTTCTATTATTTAATAGTTAATTGATACCTTCTTCACCATCATTATTCAATCAAAAAACTTTCAAATTTTAACTAACTTTAACTAAATAATATTTTTTTCTCAAATTACCAATTTTGTCTATACACTATACAAAGTGATCCTAAAATTTGATGTTTCGGAATCCGGAATAAAAACACAGAACTGTCAAAATATTTTATATGGAAGGATCATATCCTATTTACTATTCTTACCAATTTTTATCAAAATACATCCATTAGTTTGTAAGATATAGACAGTGTCGTCCGTCGCTACATAGCCTTTATATACTCATTTTATGACTCTTTAAATGAACCTAAGTACATAAGAAGCAACTTTCTTAGCTATAAAACTGTACAATAATACTTATTTACAAAAGTAAATTCCTAACTTAACATATTTTTTTTGTAGGTCGTCACTCACAAAACTAAATATCGAACTAGACCTCACGGTACCACGCCTTATTCTGGATGGATTCATTAAAAAAAATACTGTCAAACTTGATGAATGGTAAGGCATAAATATTTGTTCGTCAACTTTTTAATTATTGTTATTTTCAGGTTCATCAATAAAAATATGCCCTCATTTCCCCCACGGCAATGTTACGTAGAATTGTCAGATGTCAAATTGGATAAATCCTTTAAATTTGTTAATAACACCGTCATTCTGCAATGTGGAGGCAGACGAAAATATGTGTGCTATATGTGTTTAAAGAAGTTCGATTCGGCTTTTGATTTGTACCGGCACAAAAGCATTCATGATGAAAATGAAAATATAGAAGACTATACTCTGGATTCTGAAATAAAACGCAGGAAATCCAAATTTTCTCCAAATATATCAAGTCATAGTGTTGATAAAAATGACAGTCGTAAGAGAAGAAACAGTGCATCCTCTAAACAAAGCGATAATACTGATTCATCTAAAAAGTTGAAACATGAATTAGTTATACCGGAAAATCATTTAGTTAGTAATATTATTTATAATACTGAAAACATTAATTATTATTATACTGAAAATGTCCCTATAATGCCAAAGTTACCTGATAACCCTGAATCTCTTATTAACAATATAATAACTGAAAGTTTGGTTAATGAAATTACAGATGAGCAAGAAGTGTTTATATTTAAAGATGAAGACATAAATGAAGAGGTAATTATTGATTCGAATGAGTGTATTATAGAGAACGAAGAATTTATTAATAAAGAAATAATCGCAAAAACACCTAATACTATCGAAAATGAAATAGATAATGAAGTTGCATCAAAACATTGTGCGATTGACAGCAGGAGTTCTGAGAATATTTTGAAACCATTTGTTTCAAATATTTTTGACAAAAAATTCATTCAATTGCCTAACCAAGCTGAAGAAAATGTCGCTGATTGGGCTGGTCACATTAATGAGATTGAATATATTATAGAGGATGAAGGAAATGAATTTACCAATGTAGATATTAAAAATACAACCATTAATAAAAAGAATGAAAAAATAGGTAATGCAGTACGTGGTGTTATAGAAAAACATGAAATATTTAAAAGGAATAAGACTTCTAAGCTGAAAAGCAGAACAAAATTATCTTCTGCTAAAAGAATTAGTGAATTGAAAAATTCTAATAAAAATAGAAACAATAATCCAGCTGTGATGAAAAGCAAGAAAAAATTATCTGCTTCTGCTAAAAGAACAATTCTGATAAACAATTCCAATAAAAATAGGAATAATAATCAACCTGTGTTTTGTCCAATTACCGTTACAAAAAAAGCAGTCACTGAGTCGCCTCTTCGTACTAATGCAATTAAATATTTTGAAAAAAACGAAGAAATAATTACTAATACAGTTACTAATATTAAATCTGAGAAACATGAAACGTTTGATAAATGTACTACTTCTAAAAATATCGCAAAACCTGGAAATACAGTAAAATCAACTATTTCTGTTAAAAATATCAATAAAATGCTCAAACCGATTAATAATAACAACGAATCTGAAGTAACGTCATGGTTAAATTTTAAATGTGTGACATGTGACTTTTATTTCGAAATTTTTAAAAAATTTGTCTACCATAGCAACCACAAAAAATCATGTATATATTACTGTAGCATCTGCAATAAGACATTTACTTCTAAAGAAGATATGTGCGAGGATATGTGTCGACATTTATTTTCATTTAATTTCTTCAGTTGCGCTTATTGTAATAGCTATTTCTTTTCCTTTGACTCTCTCAGAACACATTTAATAAGCGACCATAAGTTTAGTAAGGATAAAATTACTCATGAGGATCTGTTGAACGTTTATGGAAAGATAGTAAAATCGTACTGCCCATCCGTATACCTCTGTCAAATTTGTTCCAATATTTTTGAAAGTAGAAAGAATCTTCAAATCCACATGGATACTCAACACGAAATTAAACAGGTTCCCAGAATTACATCCAAATAAACGAATAAAGTGATTTAAATGCTCCAAAGTAGATTCCGCCTGTTACACAGGCGTTGATATATACGTCACGTTTCAAGTGTCAAGTCTGACTGATTTTTAGATATTAGGTTATGTTTGTTATTAAATTAAATGTCGTATGTCATAGCAATCTTCAAGCTCTTCCCAAGCATTTTTAATAACTTCCCATAGTTGACCTTATTTGTCGGCCTTAATTCTCTTTAATTTTTGACTATAAATCCCCATATATTTTTAATTGAACTCAGAACTTTTTGCTGACAATGGAAAACATTTGTATTGTTGCTATTTTTGACCCACTCTCTTAAGGGCCCCACTCACCTCGTTCTTCTCCGCCGATTTTAACCGACGGTTAAAAACGTCAGGGTAAAAATGTCACAAAAACGAGGTGTATGGGCAAGAACGTCGTTTGTGAACGTCGTTCCAAAATTTCAGGCGAGTCTTGATTTTTGACGGTTATCGTGCCAACCGTTCGAGTAAACACGAGGTGTGTGTTCTCAACAGTTTGACTGGTCGGGCATTTATCAGTAGCAGTGACGTTCAGCATGTTTTTGTTGTTTATTATTATTTACAACTGGTTATAATAAAAATGTCGGATATTAGGCAGTGGAACAGAGATTTTTTATTAGAGTTTATCGAGCTTGGCAGGTTTCGAGTATTATGCGTCCTAGTGCCTGCGGTGAAATAATAACAGAAAACTTCAGATCCTCGTAGCTGCGGCCAGTGGCCAGAAACCGCAGAGTAGCTGTTAGGCGTTCGTGAGGACTGATCCATTCCCTTAAATAATTATTATGTCTCTCTATTAACGGTGTTAATAGTTTTAAGTTTCCGATACGTATCCTCGTCCATCCTCAAGTAATTATGCCAATCACCAGGCTCCAATCTTAGCTCCTCCAGTAAATTTATTTGTGACAGTGTACTGAGTTTAAGTAACCAGTCTTTAGTCCATTTTCTTCGAGATTTTCTTTTTTCACGATTTTTTCCACTGCCAAAACCGCTGCCACTGCTAACAAGCACGTAAGGTCCATCATGATAAACTGGCGCGAAAAAACCTGTTGTGTGTGGACATATCAGTCAACGTTTTTCCTTCCAACGTTTCTAACCGTCGGTTAAAAACGCAAAGAAGAACGAGGTGAGTGGGGCCCTTTACTCTTCGAGCCGTATGAACTGTAGAATTATCTTGTGATAAAAATCAATTATTATAAACATTTACGAGTATACCAAACTGATTTCTTACATGTTGAAAGGTAAAATTGTCAGAAAAAGCTTCTCTTACTAATGGTAACATCACGTTGTCTAACAATAAGATGTTTATACAGGGTATCCGGAAATTGCGTGTACATGGGGCTACCATAGATTTATGGGCTCAAAATAAAGTTGATCGCCGTGTAGTAAAGGCCCGAGTCGAGTAAGTTCTTATTCTGTATGCTGAAATAAAACCTGCTTGACCTATATTGTCCACCTCTCTTCTTTTCATTCACTGCAGGGTTCTCAATTCAGTTTCGAGTACATCAGATTCGTGTACCATACTTTTTGAAAGGGCATGAGGGTTTGGCATATAATCGTAATTTAGCAGATTTGTAGTGAAGCTTATAAATCTGTAGTCGTCGTTGTTTGTGGCATTCACTTTTTGTGAGCTTTCTGATAGGGTTACCGTTCAAGGTGGGCTCAACTTATCCCCATTAAATGATGAGTCATAAAAGAACAGCCGATCACCCGTCGATTGGTGTTCATCTGTTGTGAAAAAAGTGGTTATTGCATACACACCTGTATTAATTCATAAATTTTTTCATGCTGCTTTCAAAAACTGATAAGAGTCTCCTGTTTAAGTGTTTTCGTCATATTTTGAGTTTTCGTAAAATTTCTAGTTTGTGGTTTTGTTGTCATAGCATATTTTGTACCAAAAATAGTGTGAGCTGTTTTGGTAATGAGTTTCGGCATTTTCGGGCATCCTCGGTAATTTGCTGAGTGCGGTCCTAGGCAGTTTGTACAAGTCGCCTTTATCTCTTTTTATTTTGGGCATTCTTTTGCTATGTAGTCTTCTCCTCATCTAACACACTTGATGCTCAGTCTGCAGTTCGACTGCGCGTAGTGGAAACCCTGGCATCTATAGCACAGAGTTGATCCAATTGGTGCTCTTAGTGGTTCTATTCCAATCACCATCTGTTAAATTATTTAATTAGGTTATTTTCCTTGTGGGTTAATGACAACAATATACCGGGTGTTCAAATTAAAGTGTTACAGATAAATACTGCCGAAAATATGCATTTTAGAAAAAAAGTTTTATAGTTTTTTGGAGGAAACATTTTGGCTAAATTTATTTTTTTTATAGCTGACCATAATATGTCCATATCGAGGTGGACTTTGTTTTTTTAAATGGGAATCCCATATTTTTTTACATATTCTTAAAGTACATAATAAATAAGAAACTTTTGATAAAAATATTTTTTTTATCCAACTTTTACTTTTTGAGTAACAGCTACTTGAAAATTTTGCTGGGCGAAAAAAAAGTTGGCCATAATATGGTTAACTATAAAAAACGATTTTAGCCAAAAATTTTTCCCCACAAAACTATAAAACTTCCGTCTGAAACGTTTTTTTTTTTTATAAAAGGCGGTATTTAGCTGTAACACTTTAATTTGAACACCCGTTATATATTTGATTTGAAATGAAATTAAAATTAAATGATTGTGAATAAAATATCATACTAATCTTGTCGAAAATTATGACTTATTCAATAATCACCTTAATGCGTGTTTCAACATTTTTAAGAGAGAATCTAAGTACTTATTTTTAAGTCTTTAACATCTTCGGTTTTTGAGGTCTGTATGTCACATAAAAAAACTGCCTTAATGGGCACAGCGTTCTAAAATAATTATAAATTCCAAATTTTTGTATTTAAATTGTACTTCTGACAAAAATGTAAAAATTGTATGTTTAATGTAATCATCTTTATAAACGAAAATATTAAAATTTAAAGTATGTATTTTCGTTCAATGTAAAATTTGATATAACTTCTACAAGGTGACCCCCTTGCTAGATTTAGTAGAGTGGTGTTAGGTTAGTAAAAAATTGTTGTAACGAAATCCTTATTCGAGATACAGGGTAGTGAAGTTTTAAAATTTTGTTTTTTTATTCCCTGCAGTTTTTGAACTATTTAGCTTAACTTTAAAATCTGAATAACGCTGTAGTGCTTACATCTACAGGGTGATATTTTTTGAGGTGCGTCGCTGATAGAATATAAAACATAAACTGAATTTTCTGTCTTGCTTAGAAACTTTTTTTGTCATTTGTAGTTTTTTATATCTGCGACCGTTATCTAGAAAAAATAAAAAACTGATTTTCTGTAACTCTTTAAATGAAAGAAGAATTTTTAAAATGCTCTAGTAGGCTCTAGATTTATTGTGGATAATTTCTATAATTTTTATAAATTAAATAAAAAACAAAAAATATTGAAATTTTAACACGTTGTATCTCCCCACTTTATTTTAAATACTCTACCTAACCTAGCAATGAAGCCACCTTTTTTTGAAACACCCTCTATATAAGTAATCTATAGTTGTACAGATGACGACCCAGTAAGCTTCATATATTTCCCAAAAATTATGTATCATTATCCAATTAAATTAATTGATATTGTAATATTATGTTTTCGTGAGACATAGAGCTACCACGTATTTAAGAGTCTGAACTCAATTTGTATAATACCAAAATGTACCGTTTGTCTGTGAGAAGAGTTCAAAATTTATTTAAAAAGTCACATTTGTGTACGCTGTTCAGAAATGCTTCAAACAAATTAAAGAAATTTGGCAAAAATACATTTAGACATATTTAGAGGATTACTCTATTTTCAGTAGAATCTCATAGGAAATTATAGTGTCAAAACCACTCTTTCCTATGGTAATTTTTTTAAATTTTCTTAGATTTTTTAACAGGAAGGCTTGTTCAATTATTAAAATTTTTTGATTCTCGTAAAGACGCCGTATTTCGCATAATTTTGAAGGAACATATTTTCTCGTACATTTCTCTTAGTACAAGTTCTATTACAGCACACAATTTAGTTGGCCTTGTACACAAAAACAAAAACCCTTCTACAATTTCCTTTGGGTTTCTTTGATTACTGAGAATAAGGTAATCCTGTACTTTTCTTAAATTAAATTACATTTCTGAACAGAAATGTTATTTTTTAAGTAAACTGTAAACTCTTCTTACAAACAAACGGTATATGTTGGTTTCCGAACTTGGCGTCCAAATTTGTAGGGGTGGTAGTTCGCTTAATTTGAGAGCGATTGGCAGATTTCATTTTTCTAAAAAAAATATAATAAACAAAATAGAGCCATTATAAAAAAAATCAAAAAGCGGGTCCTACCCTGAGCGCGTAGCGCAATAGTTGCCTGATCGGTTACTCATCGGGATTTACAACTCAAAAACAGATGCGATTTGCAAATTTCTCCCTTCGCCCGGCCGGTATCGAAAGACGTAGCCGATTGTTTTTCTAGTGGGTATTGCTCGAGGAGGCCCCATCGCAGTGCAGGGCTGTTTAAAATTTTTAATTATTTTTATTTTAAATATTTTGGAAAAATGAAATTTGCCAATCGCTCTCAAATTATTCGAACTACCACCCCTACAAATTTGGACGCCAAGTTCGGAAACACCCTGTATAGATATATAAAAGTCGAGTCAAATCGCCTTATTTTGACCTCTACAATACGTGGCAGCTCTATGTCCCAGCAATTTTGGGAACCCCTGCATAGTTTTGATTTGAACATTATTTGTTGTATATATGTATATTTTTATCGCTTGGAAAAGTATTTCCAAGCAATCTTTGAGAGTTTTTTAGTGTTGGGGACTAAGTCCAAATTATACATACAGTGTGGAACAGCCAAATGGAATAAATTCTGTAAATAAATAAATAAATAAATCGGGTCGTGTTCGTAAAAACGCTTGCAGGTCGATTGGTATTTTTAGATGCATATTTTTTTTTA